ACAAAGCATAAAATCTGAATAAAGTCTATGGATGGCACTAATGTCAATGTTCTGGTTTTGATACGTTCTTCTAAGTAAGGTGTGATGATTGGGAAACTGAGTGAAGGGTACGACGGAGCTCCCTAGACTGTATTATTTTTGTAACTTTCTGGCAATCTATATCCATTTCCAAATAAAACAAAATAACAGGTAAGTGGAAGTGTATTTAAATGTTTCATTGTGTATTTTATTTTATTGTAATAAATATTTCATAAATTAAAATTTAAACCATTTATATTGTTATTGATTAAATTTGTGTCTCTACTTGAAGTATAAAGAACACAAAATATTTAAAATTTTCTGATTTTATTGTATTTTATTAAACATTGTTTGAACCTTTTGCTGAGAAACCATGTTCACACAGTGATTTTGTCCAGATTTTACCCAAGGAAACATAATCCATGCCCTGGTTACTTTAATTCAGCACTTTTTACTTTTTCTCTTGGGTGTTTTTGCTTATACTTCCAGTAGAAAAGTCAGTAACTTGTCTTTTTTTGCCTGGTCAATCCAGAAAACAGCTTTTTAAAATGTCATGTGTCATATAGTATAAAAGTCACTTTTATGATAATATTACAGAGATATATTAAGAAACTTAGACCGATATATTTTGCATATAATTGGATATTTCAAGCACTAAAAATAAATTTGAGGTACATACAACCTTATTTTACCATTTTACAACACAATAGGCCAATGCATGATAACAAAACCCTTATTTATTTTCTAAAGTATAAGGACAGTGTAATTGTCAAGTAAACACCACTTTGACTCTTTTTAAAAAGATTTTATTTATTTATTTTTGGAGACATGGGAAGGGAGGGAGGGAGAAAGAGAGGAAGAGAAACATCAATGTGAGAAAGAATCATCAATTCATTGTCTCTCACATATGTCCCATCTGGGGACTGGACCTGCAACCCATGCCTGTGTCCTGAATGGAAATAGAACTGGTGACCTTTCATTTGGTGGTATGGCACCCAACCAACTGAGCCACACTGGTCCGGGCCTGATTTTACTCCTGAATAAAGTGAGATTAGGAGAAATGAACTTAATTTACATGATGACAGATGCAGATTAGAATATCACAAATTTAACACACTTAAAGTTTAAAATAATTTATGAATAGTGTTCTTCAGAGTTGTTTTTTTCTTGATTGTCTATTTTCTTGCAAATGCAGAAGATGCGTGTACTTTAACAATCCACAATACAGAATGATTTATGAAAATTAACGATTATTTTTCCTATTTATCTTCATCCTTGTCTTGATCCAGGGGGCCAAGTGATTTTCATTCTGGGCTTTATACTTTTATCAGCCATCTCTGTAAAAGGATAGAGGCGTGTTTATTATTACTTTCCAACCAAGGCTGAATCTTGGACCTCTTTCATCTAACCAAACAAGATTCATAAATATTATTTTCTACCTGACCATTAGGTTTGCATCTTGACTTTTAATTAATCCACTGCTACTACTACTAGTACTACCACCACTTCCATTGCTAAAGGCTTACAAACATTATTATATGCTGCAAGAAACAGAGGTGCTTGAGGGTATTAAATAGAATGGATGCTACCTCCTTCAAAGGAAAATAATCTACTGCTAATGATAAGAAAAATAGAGTTGTGTTCACACGTTTAATAAGTTCCCACAGTGATTCAAGATACTGAGAAAGTGAAGCTCTGACTTGAGTGACGTGTGCCACGAATGCATTCTCTCTTTTCAGAGCCCGTTCCTTCCAATCAGAAGCATCAGCCTTGCGGCTATGACTTCTCTTTTTCTGTCTTTCTCCCCTCCTCCACCATTTCACCATTAGCTTATTCTGCTTTCCCTCACATCAAGGAAGCTTTTTGTAGTCTTAGGAATAGTGAACACCTTTTCACACATTTTTTTCAACCATTTATCCCCAAAGAGTCCCTGCATATTAGAGAGTCAAGGAGAACTGGAGTATTTATATATCAAATCTTTCAATTTGTTTGTGTGAGGACAGCAAAGCTTTCAACATATCTACGTGGAGAAGAAGGTTCCAGGCACAGAGTTGTAAGAAAGGAGTGTTAATACAGGACAGGGCAGGCAAAACACAATAAAGTTTGCTCTCTAAATGTAGCTACTAGAAGAGACTGGAAGTTAACACTATTGAGTGATTCTGGGAAAGCGGACAAAACTCAACGTTAAGAATTGCTTGACATTAGGGCTGAGGTGCTGGACTGCACCAAATCCTCATATGTGTTGGTTGATACCCATCCAGGTGAGAACTGCTAGCATTTCTGGATTTCCATGTGTGACCTTAGCAAGACTTTCAGCTGTACTAGGAGATAAAAAGGTCACAAATACTGAGTTGCAGATACTGGCTGTCCAGAGGTTACCGAATACCCTGAGGAATATGGGAGCAGCAGTGGTAACCTCTGCTTCCAGTGGAGGTAAGGGACAGAGACACTGGCACAGCAATTCTACTGCTTACCTGTACAAGAAGGAATCGAAGAATCCACTTGGGTTGACAATTCAGAAAGAAGTAAGGGGAGGGGTTAAAATACACACACACACACACACACACACACACACAAGTGTGTGAGTGTGTATGTTTGTATATTCTGTTCTCTTATGTATGACTTGAGCCTAGAGTTCTTGAACTGAATATGTCTTTGATGGATTTTTACTTCTGATTTCAGTAAACTAAGACAAAAAACAATGATTCATGTAGATTTAATCAGGCATGTTTCTGGAAAATTAGAATAACTTAGAAAACTTAGAATAAATACAGGTGGTCTCATTAGCGTGGGAAGTGTAGTAATAGTACCAACTATATGTTCTAATTTCGTATCAATTCAGAACTCAATCTGAAAGGAAAACCTTAACCTTTTATTTAGTTAGGATGATTTTATTCACATGGGACAAGAAATGAGCAAAATTAGGTTGTTTTTTCTAGTTCACAAGGTTTGGAGAGGTTGCGGAGAAAAGGGAACCCTCATTCACTGCTGCTGGGAATGTAAGCTGGTAAAACCACTATGGAAAACAGTATGGAGGTTCTTCCAAAAAATATGAATAAAATTAGCATATGACCCAGCAACCTCTCTTCTGGGTATCTACCCCCAAAATGTAAAAAACATTTATCCACAAAGATATGTGCACCCTTATGTTCATGGCAGCACTATTCTTATGGCCGAGACATGGCAACAACTGAAGTGTTCCTTAACAGGTGACTGGATAGAGAAGATGTGGTACACATACACAATGGACTACTACTCAGCCATGAGAAAAATGAAAGACCTACATTTGGGACAACATGGATGGATCTTGAGAATATTATGCTAAGCAAAACAAGTCACAAAAATTTCAAAAACCCCTTGATTTCACCCATATGTATGATATAAAACTGAAAGCAACAAGTGAAAACAAACAAACAAATATTCATAGACACAAACAATAGTTCAGTGGTTACCAGAGGAACAGGGTGGTGAGGTAGTAAAGGGGGTCGAATATATGGTGATGGAAGGAGATTTGACTTTGGGTGGTGAGTATAATAAAATATACTGATGATGTGTCATATAGTTGTACTCTTGAAGTCCACGTAATTTTATTAACCAATTTTACCCCTAAAAATTTAATTAAAAATAAAAATAAAAATGAATATACTTCATGTTGTAGACAAAAGATCATTTATAAATTATATCTCTTAACTAGGCTTTGCATAAAATGTGGATGAAGAATTTTTATGTTTACATCCTTAGGCAAGAACTTAAATGTTAGCAATTTCTATGGTTCACTGAAAGAATCTCTATGTGCACAATGCAAATGAAACAGATGGAAAACTTAACTTTATGGAAGCTGAAAAATATAATCACATTCTTCATTTTTGTTTTTGTTTTTTTGTTATTTTCATTGAATAGCCCATCTCTTATGAGTTTCATCTATAGTAATCTTGTAATGCTTGAAAATAAATATTAACAACAACAAAAAGTTATTTGGGATTCTTCTTCATTTGGGGTGAATGGCAGATTGTATTCCCAGATAATTATAGATCAAGATCTCTACTCCCAAGATTCTTATTCATCCATCTGTCCCACATTTAAATTGCCCATTTATATGGTTATTCTTCTGAAGACAAAAATTTGTAAATTAAATGATCAGTATACTATTCGAATGAGATAACAGTAAAAATATAATCCTTAAAATATTAAATCAAATAAAGATACTGGAGCAGGTATAGTTCAAAGGACTTGAAAGGAACTGAACAGTGAAGATCAAATGTGGAGAGAAGCTTTATGGCACCTGAATGAGGCACTGAGGGGTGGGCCCAGACTAACCGGGGCATCTACAGCACACATGTGTGTATGTGTGTGTGTGTGCGTGTGCGCACAGAACAGTGAGGGGAAGTCACTCTTGGTTCCGCCTTTTTGACCTTCACCTTCCATACTTGGGTTAATGATTGAGGGGTCAGAAACATATAATGAGAGATGAATACACCAAGTACTCTGTGATAAAGAAAAGAAATAAAAATCATGAAACATGAACACAGAGGGACAGGTTTGATTTGAAATATATTGCATGTTGCTCTGGAGAAACATAGCCAGGGTTTCAAACTTAATGACTTTGGCCAGGTATTAAACTCTGTCTTAGTTTTCTCACCAGAAAAATGGGTATATTTATGTATCTTTATTATTAAGCCATTTTCAGAAGTAACTGTGCTAATATATGCCAAGTGGTTTAATCTGTGAATAGCACAGGCAAGTTATACATGTTTCTAATTATTAAAAGAGAAAACTTTTTGTGGAACTTTATTATACTAAGTAAATTTACCTTTGGTATACCCATCTTTTTTTCCTATTTTCTGAATATTTTTAAAAGGTGATTGCCATTCAAACATTAAAATCTTTTTCTCACTTTTTTTTGATAGAGGATTTGTGTTACACAAGGGTAGTGAGAAGTTCCTGTATTGTGGTTTCCTGAACATCAAGAATATGGCTTAAAAACACAGCTTTTCTTTGCCTGTTGAATTTCTTCGTACACGACTTTCAGATTCTTAGCCTCCAGCTTAATTCTGTGGCCCAACACCATTCTTCTTAGACAAACAAACACGGTGACTTATTTGGAGCAACATTCTCATGGCAGGTATGTCAGGCTGAGTCTTAAATTTAAAAAACAAAACAAAACAAAGCAGAAAAGGTTTCTCGCTTTCTCGCAGGGATAGCTAATTTCGGGGCATGCTTTAAGAAAAAAATATGGAAAGCATTTCACACTTAATTTTATGTCTCTGATTCTTCAATCTGTAACTTAGAAAGGATTTTGTGAAGTTTCTCCAACAGGTTTAAAGAGTGACTTATAACAGAAAAGCTGTAAATTCTGAATGAAAACTGAATTTCCCAGGTTAAATTATGAGCAATTTAATGCTACTACAGAGTAAATATAGAATGCCAAATATTAATGATACGATAATTACGAGTGCTGTTTAAAAACTTAGCATTTGTGTTGTGCCATCCAAAAGCCACCTAGATTTTCATGTTGACGTATTGCACTGCTGTGAATGTCGGCACTCTTTGGGAGTGTGCTAATGTTAAAGCAGAATTTCCTAATGTTGAATTGTTTGAGTGGGAAGAGGCAAGTTATATGGGGACTTAGGAAATGTAATGTCCTTGTAAAAAAAGGGTTGTTTGTGTATCATAATTCAATGCACTGAGAAATGAACCCAGATCCCCAAGTACTGTCCATGCGTTGTTTGCGGGGGGGGGCACCCTCTCATCACACCAGGTGCAGATACTCCTGTGTCTTTTTTTTGCTGTAAGACCTCTTCAAGTTTCTGAGCACCTGATCTCTCTCAGAGGGACCCACTCCCAAGTGGCATCAGTGTGAAAATGATAGCACATGTTAAATAAAGACTCTGGTCCTAGACAAACTTTCATTTGATTTCTGAAAGTACTTGGGTACTTACCAGCTTCGGTACCTTGAGAAAATAACACTACAATGAATTCTAAATTTGCTGTCTACCTACTGGGGATCATACTACATGTTGTGATTTTTGTTGAAAAAATTAAATTAATGTCTGTTATGTAAGCTCATAAAACAGACTTTAGTGCCTGTTCATCTCTTCTCACTCTGTGTCTCTTGGCTGCTTTGTCACAAGATCTTAAATATAAATATTACATACACTTTCTGAGCCAGAGCTGAAAAAAGATATGGATAATCTTACTACAGAATAAGGCATACCACATAAAATTTTTAGTACTAGATGGAGTTCTGAACGGAATGTTTTCATTTCCAATGGCAAGAGAATTGAGTTGACAAACCAAAGCAAAGTTTGGATTCTCTCTCCCTTGTTTCTGTTTATAAGAATTTTAGCTCCTGTAGTTGCTCTTTAAGTGATTCCTCTACCGCTCTTTCTCTAAAGCTTCTCGGACCACTCCATGGAGGCTGATTTCTGGGATCATAGGAGTCATGTGCCTTGTGCTGATGGCTACTTTGGGAATTTTGTTGAGCAATGGTAAGTTTTTCTAGGCAAGTCTATGTAAACATCGAAACTGTGATGAAACCATTTAATAGTAAAGGTTTCATTTTACTAATGTGTAATATTGTGTTATTTAATACACCTGTATCTAATTAAGTGACTTTCTCTTTAAAATCTTTATTATATTTTTCCATTACCATTTAGTCCCCTGATTAAGTAAATGTCTAATAATTTCTTATAGCATTTACTAAAGGAAATGTTCAGCCAATACCATCTCCAGGACCCACCACTGAACCCCTGGAAGGTAGGTCCCATACTTGGAAAATACTAGTTTTGTTAGAGCGTGAAATAGTTTTATATTTTCTCATACAGAAGTGTGAGAAATACAAGTTGAATACAAGTTTACCTGCTAATCATAGGATAGTCTCATTTCTTCATCCTGTAATGTAAGAATTACTAAATCACACTGTGCATCATTTGAATATTTAGGTAATAAGGAAAATATTAGCTTGAAATGACATGTTTTTCCTGTATGAGCACTCATGTTTAAGTAACATCAATAGTAAACTATAGTGCATGTTAAAGTTAATCCTCCCTGCCCATGTTTGCCATAACTTGTACACTTATACATTTATATCCCTTCATCTTTGCTTCTTTCTATTTCTTGCAGATTCTATTTCTTGCAGACTCAGAATATAGTGCAGAGATGCCTGCATCTGACCCTACTTTTCTATATTAAGCCAGATCTTTTTTTTTTAAGATTTTATTTATTTATTTTTAGAGAGGGAAGGGAGGAAGATAGAGAGAGAGAGAGAGAGAGAGAGAGAGAAACATCAATGTGAGGTTTCTGGGAGTCATGGCCTGCAACCCAGGCATGTACCCTGACTGGGAATCGAACCTGTGACACTTTAGTTCGCAGCCCGCGCTCAATCCACTGAGCTATGCCAGCTGGGGCTCTTAAGCCAGATCTTATTCCAATTTTTAAAATTTATTTTTCCAAAGTTTCTTAGTTGTCTCATCACCTTCTGTGATATTATAAGACTTTATTTATCTTTTTGTTCTTGGGGAATTTCCAAGCTTTATTAAGATATAATCAATGTATTACACTGTGTGAGTTTAAGGTGTACAGTGTGTTGATTTCATACACTTATCTTTTGCAATATGATGACCATTGTAGCACTAGGTAATACCTGCATTATGTCACATAATTGCACTTTTTTTATCCTGGGAACACTTAATGTCTACTCTTTAGCAACTTAACAAGTGTATGATACAGATTGTTAACTACCAATATAATAACAATATTATGCAGTAGATCCTCAGAACATTAACCTGCTAACTAGAAGTTTGTACCCCACTTCTCTCCATTTCCACCACCTCCCATCCCCTGTAATCCCCCTTGTACACTGTAACTTCAGTGCCATTCATTCCCCTGATGAAGATTAGAGTGTGTACCATGTACTCCTGTTTCTGAGGACAAAATGTTCAAGGCGCTGGTTAACTGTAGGATTGGACTTCAAACTAATTGTTTTATTTAGTTTCATTTTGAAAATAAAATACCTAAAATATGCATCATAATTTTTCCAATGTGCCATATTCCTTCTGATTCAGGAAATATGCTAAAATGTCTTCCTCCCTTAAATATCTCTTTTATCTAATTTACTCCTATTTGCACAGCAGAGATCAACTTTTGTCCACTTCCTACACTCTACTACAGAATGTTTTAACAGGAGGTAATTCTTATGTATACTTACTCAAATTAACATTAAATATAATTAATAACTATTGAAAAATCATATAATTCTACTGCTGGCTCTAGAATATAACATCCATGGTTCATTCATATGACCATCCTTGGAAGTTTGGTGAATGAAGTAGATTCTCAAAGAATATTTGCAGAAAAAAATAACAAATGATTTCCATGTGAGTAAATAGCACTTAACATGAATCTGCAATGTCATCAGTCAAGTTTTATTTTTTTCTCTTAGGCTGTGGCTGTTATTCTTGCCAAGAAAAGTGGATTGGATTCCAGTGCAACTGTTTCTTCATTTCCAGTGAAAGAAAAACTTGGGCAGAAAGTAGAGATATCTGTGCTTCTCGGAATTCCAGTCTACTTCATTTGAAAAACAGAACTGAAATGGTATGTATTTAATTCGAGTTTCTTATATTTTCTTTGGCCTAGAATAACATACCATCTAAGTAAGCTGACTACTTTGATTTAAATATTTTTCAGGTAGTAAATGAATGGTTGCATTTAAACTAATAATGACTTACTCATTTTTTATACCTTAAAACAATCATTATAATACAGGAATAAAAATCAAGATAGGTGCCAGATAAAGTACTAGAGGAATTTTGGAAAGAGATCAAAGAAGAAATAATAGGTCTTTTTTTTTTATTCAAAGAACCAACTAAGCAGGTTTGTAATTTCTAGTTCTTTAATTAAATATATATATTTGTAATTATGTAGCTTTTACCATCATTCTGGGATATAAGATGGATGAGGAACCTGTGCTGAGTATAGGTAGAATAGGTTATATCCAAGAAATTATTCCTCATGATACTGGCAATTTAGAATTAAATTTGATGGTTGATGTCATGTGAAAGAAATGTTCCATGAAAATCTAATCTACTTATGATGTTTTTAATTCATTCAAGAAGTGAAGTTGTGATTTTTTTCTCCATAACTGCATGGGCCTTGTAGGTGAGAATGGGTCTTATCAGACATGTGACTGTACCTTCTAAAGCAGACATTAAAAATGATTTCAGTTTGAGTGACGTAGAGTCTGAATATGATTCTGGACACTGATTTTCTTAAAAGGACATTATGCCCAGAGTAGATTCAAATTCTATTAATGTGTTTGTCTCTATTTCCACACAGGATTTTTTAAAGTTCAGTAAAACATTTTACTGGATCGGGCTCTCCTACAGTGAAGAACGTCGTGTCTGGCTGTGGGAAGATGGCTCTGCTCTCTCCCCAGACCTGTAAGTCCCTGGCAGTCAAGGCTTGTCTGCTCTTTATGAGTTTGTCCTTAGATCTCACCAGACAATGTAAATGCTGGAAACACTGTCTGGAGCATGAGAACACAGAAGAGAGAAACTATACGAGAGAATAACGACTTTAGCATTACCTATAACACCCAAGCATATGCTTGAGTGACATGAAGTTAACTGCATCTGTTACCATAAAAGAGGTTTTGACTTTTTCTTTTTGCTGTGGCACCACCACTTGTGTGAGCAGATTAGTAATGACATAAGGGATAAAAAGCCACCCTTACATTCAGAAGATGTTCAGAGAAAACAGGAGAACCGTTCTTTTCTTTATTCTGGGGAGACCCATTATTCTCAGCATCCTCTGATGTTTCATATACTCTGGGCTTATCTTTTTTGCATATTTGTAATCTTAGAATCTCATTTCCATTCATAAACATAATATTTGCAGCATCATACAATGACACATTTTATGCTCTGATTTGTTTTTCTAGACTAAATTAGCAAATACATTTTTAAACAAAATAGAAGCAAAATTGGTCATAATATTAGAACTATTAATGACAATGGCAAGAACAAAAATATCTCTGGTCTCAATGATATTGATTATTGAGGCAATAATTGAGTTTCAGGAATCTTGTACTTGAAATTGCGGAAACGGTGGCTATTGAATTAAAAGAAAAGAACTCAGTATGTTAACATCTCATACATATATTGTTTAAAGTTCCATCTTTAAAAAAAACCCTGAGCACTTTCATTTTCTTTTCTCATAGGTTAACATTTTCTTTTTCTTCACAGATTTTCACCACTTCCCACTTTAAACACAAAGAATTGCGTACTGTATGGCACAAGGAACAGTGTTTTGGATGAATCCTGTAAAGAACAAAATCCTTACATCTGTAAACAACAGCTTATTTAGCGGTTGCTTAGGGCAGAAGGGTGGGCTGTGAAGGTCCAGTATTACTAAGAATGGTAAGTTTACCTCTTACATTATTACTGATTAGCTACTCCTGGGATTTGTAAAATATCTCATATTATATCTTATATATTTTAGGGGGACCCCCAAAACTGGAATTGACGTATTAAAATTTGTGTATTTCTTCTTCCATGTTTAAACTTCAGTCACTTTCAAAGTACTTTTCATTTGATGTAATACACCTACCTATTCAGATGTTTTTCTTCACTGCTCAAAACAGCTTCTTTTTAAAAAAATTTTATTTATTTTTAGAGAGAGGGGAAGGGAGGGAGAAAGAGAGGGAGAGAAACATCAATGTGTGGTTGCCTCTCATGCATCCCCCACTGGGGACCTGGCCCACAACACAGGCATGTGCCCTGGCTGGGAATTGAACCAAAGAGACCCTTTGGTTCACAGTCCAGGCTCAATCCACTGAGCCACAGCAGCCAGGGGTCAAAACAGGTTTTTAAACTTACTGATATTGATGCCTTATAGTGCTTCTGCTGTTTTTTGTTTCACCTCTTCCACACTGGCAAAACGTTTCTCTTTGAGGATTTTGTTCATCTGGGACACAAGCAAACAAGAAAAGCTGTACTTGGGAGAGACAGGGTGAATAGGGAGGGTGGGGCACAGGGGTCAAGCCCTGTTTGGTCAAAGACTGCTGAACATCAGCCCAGTGTTGGCAGGTGTGTTCGTAAATTACACATCATGAAATTGGCAAATGCTTTGAAAGGGTTTTCAAATAAAGTTAACTGAAGCCAAACCCAGCCTTTTACAACAATGCCAGCTGGCACACTGAGGGTTCCTAGAACACTCACCTAGTGGGGAAGCTTGTACTACCATGGGTCCACCCTCAGAGGATAACTCATGTTTTTTGGTGGTCCCCACTCATATTTGAAAACGTGTTTTAAAATTGACGAACTTTGTTCATGTACACCTAAAATGATGAAGCAGCGAGGTAAATAATTTCATGAATATTTTGATATAATGCACATGATCAATATTGAGTGTAATGTATTTTCATGTGTACATTCTGATAAATTTTCTCTGTCAAAATTTAAATAGAATAATTCACATCAAATAATATTTATCAACATCATTTCAGACCTTGGTTTGCAATACTAAATTGGGAATTCCCATCTTCATCTCACTTTCCTGGAAGTTAGTTCTTTCTGGATATATCTGTGCTGTAATGTGGAGCTGGAAGTGCCACCTGACAGCTTCCTCACGCGCATCCTCCAGCTTCAGAGGGGCACATGTTTGTGCATCTTTTCCTGATGCTCCTCAGTTCCGTGGGACAGTTTTAAATCTCTGGTCAGATACGGGGATCTAGTGTAATTGCTTTCAGAGTTTACAAGGGTAAAGGGGCTCCAAGCCCTGATCACAGAAATTTACTATACCTATTTCTTTCTTCTTCTTTTTTTTGGGGGCCTTATGCTTATCAGCCAGTGAAAGAGTCACATGTGCATTGAAGATCTTAATATCTAATTAATCCCAAGAAACTTTTCCTAAAAGTTAAGTGTAAAATGAACAATTCTTTGTGTGTGTGTGGATGAGGAAGCATCCCATTTTATAGAGGTCTTTCTGAGCATGTTCTAGAAGGGCTGGGGGCAGAGTGAGGTCTAATTCCTCAGACCTGGGTGGAATTTTTACAATCTCACAGATTTCAAAAGCCAATTTCCTCTTTTTGGTAAATTGTTGTATAGATACCTTCAAAAATTTATATTGAAATACCTATTTATTTACTAGTTTTATATTTCAGTTACATGATAAAAATTAAGAACTCAAGTTGATTTTTATTATATAAGGAGACAGGAAGAGAGAATGACCTTTTATTGTTCATTTCTCAAAGTATAAATGTAATAGGACTGAAAACTGAACTCTTTACTTTCTTTTATAAAGATTGACTTAGGAAAAATGCACTTATATTATAAAAAAGATTATAACATCTTTCAACTATTGAACTAAGATAACACGTATTGTACTTCCTGGATACTTTGCATGTTTTGGCTTTGTTGCCTATGTGATTTCAAAATAACACATTTAAAATTCAATAAAAAACAGCATAGATTAGCTTATAATTAAAATGAGTAGTTTTCTGTTCCAACTATCCCATATCTCTGACCTCCTCCCATAAGGCAATTTCTTCTGGAATTTTTGTTTCTTCCATTTGATTGTCTTCCTGCTTAGCATGGTTTTCTCTGTAATGAACCAAGGATGTTCTTTTTTCAAAATTTCTGTCTAGGATAAATGTCAGTAATGACATTCATAAACTCAATGTTTCCATTTAGCCACACCTGGTGTAGGTTCAATGATTACTTCTCACACCCTTACCCACAAGGTGTGCGGAGCCCAACCTGCCTTTGTTCTGAGGACTCATGAACTTTCAAAGTGCACGGGAGCGATGAGGAGACAGAAGGTGCTGAATGTGGGGAATGATGTCTAATTCCAGAGAGTAACCTATGTCAACATTTGTCTCCACTGAGAGAAGAGAATTCTGTTGTCTCTCAATTACAACTCCGAGGTTTTCCAGCTCCCACATAATTTCAGAGAACCATGATGGAAAGTTCTGGCTTGAATGGAGGATACTAGTCACCCATTCAGTGGGACAGCCTGGCTTTGTCATATTAGTCATACTCAGGCCATGTCCATCTGACCCATTTCATTTCTAATATTTTTCTCTGACACTTACCTGCATTTTTCATTTGTTTATCCTGAAAGTATCTTTGCGGTCTTGGGGTAGGAAAGACTTTTTTATATAGATGTCTTCTACCATGTAACTTTATTTTTTTATACTTCCAACATAAGATCCTTGATATATTCTCTGGGGAAAGACACTATTTTTATTCTTTTGTTCTCTATTTCTTGTTATTGCTTGAAACAGACTAGCACACATGGAAGGATTTAGTTGAGGAATATCTCAGTGTTAGATGTAAACCAAAAGGGCTAGGGCGAGAAGATGTTATGAATGAGAGCGAGGCCCGAGTCAGGAGGCCCCCTCCCTGGGCTTGGTTCTTGTCTCACTACAAGAGAATAATTCAAGTGAGAGACAAACACATATGGAGGAAATGAGATAGCAAGTTTATTTATGAAACACATCAGCACAAAGCTACAAGTGGGCACCCAGCTAGTCTAAATGCCCCACGTGTAGAGGAAGTAAAGTTGTTAGTAAGTTTATTCTACACGTTTGAACCGAGGCTGTAAGTGGGTCATTGGCTAAGTACGCTAACCATTGGAGTTCAGGGGTTATGTACCTAAGCTTCTAGAGGTACTCCTCCTTCTTCCCCTTCTAAATCTCGGGAATAATGTACAGTGACAAAGGCTTTCCTTCTCAGTTAGTAAAAGCTCTTTGTCTTAGTGAAATTGTTATAGAGACCCCCTTTCCCAGCATAGGCCCTTCTTCTTCCTATGCAATTCTTGCTTATACCTGGCAATTACAGTAAAATTTTTATGGAAGCTCACAGTAGCTCCCCTTTTCCAGTATCAAGGACTTCCCTTCTCCTGTACTATTTTTGCTTGTGATGCTGGAGACACGGGGCAATCTTACCATACCGAGCTCAGGTCTGCTGAGTCAATGGGTGAGACATGTCTTCCTTTTGCTTCCAGCCTCCTGTATTAAGTTCTTTGTTGGATTGTAATAGTGAGGGCCCTGTCTTTATTTCCCCTCGGTCTGTTTGTTCCTAGCTGCTACCTATCAGAAATGTCCAAGAAGCACACAAAATAACAAAATAATATGGCAATAATTGGTGTGTACTTCTTTAATTTTACCCTGTAACCCTAAATATGTAACCCTGAATGTATATAATACACACTATGTGTGGGTTTCTAACAAATTATGAGAAGTCTAGGAACTTAAAACTATGCATCTCTTATTATCTCTTACTATCTTTGGATCAGGAACTGAGCAAGACTCGGTTGTTTCCTTCCTTGTGGTTTCACAGCCTCCGACCAAGTTTGCCTTCTAATCTGAAACTCAGATTTCTCTTTCAAGCTCTTTCAGGCTGCAGCATAATTTAGTTCTTTTTGGCTGTAGGACTTCCCAGACCACCCTCCTCCATAGGCAGCAGAACTGTGGCTGCTTGCTTCTTCCAGACCAGAAGAAGAGCATCTCTGACTCCTCTCTCTGTCTGACTTATATAGTATCTTTTAACTGTTCACCTGATTAGGTCAAGTTCACCCATAATAATATCTTTTTGATTAATGAGAAACAGGCTAATGCGGAACCTTAGTTACATCTGAAAACTAGCTTCATCTTTATAATTCAATGTGTTCTACTCACAGAGTAACATTCCATTATGCAGGCGTATGCTGGAGAAATTGCCAATCTGGTTCCAGACCACTTTAATAAAGCAAGTATTGCAGAAAAACAAGACTTCATCATTTTTCCGGTCTAGGGTCTTGCCATCTATTTATAAAAAATGCTACACTTGCAAAGTGCAATAAAGCTCAACAAAAAGAGGTATGCCTGTGTCCTCAAACCCCACTGAAATTAAAGGGGAGAGAATTACACAGCTGTCCACCAAGGCATGGACATTTGGGCATCAACTTAGAGCTCTGCCTACCATACCGACAACCCCCTAAAAATGTTTTTGCTGCTACTTTATAGTTCATTGAATTTAAATGCTCCTTTGATTTCTGATAAGCAGGAATTTGCTTCATGTGTGCCAGGACAAGGAGTCTTATTTGAGTTATGCTAATATATCTTTCTTCATTTAAAAAATGTCATTTTTCAATTACAGTTTACATTCCATATTATTTTTATTAGTTTCAGGTAACAACATAGTGGTATATAGACAATACAGCAGTTGTCTACTTACAGCATAATTAGACAATTATATATTTTATAAGTGTTCCTCCTTATAATTCTAGTATCCCCTCACACCACATGTTGTTTTACAATATTATTGACTGCATTCTTGGTGCTTTACATTCTTTTGATGATTTTGTGACTACCAGCCTGTACTTTTTAATCACCTCAACTTTCTCATGCAGTCCCCCAATCCCTCTGCCCACTGACAGCCATCGCTCTGTCCTCTGTATCTTTTAGTTTGTTTCCATTTTGTTTGTTTATATTGTTCTTTAGATTCTGTTTATAAGTGAAATTTTATGGTATTTGTTTTTCTCTGACTGAACTTTTCAATTAGCACAATACCCTTTATGTATTTGTCCAAATGGTAATATCTTATTCTTTTTTTTATGGCCAACTAACATTCCATTGTATCCCACAGTTTTTTATTCACTGGTCTCTTGATGGACACAAGCTGCTTCTATGTTTTGGCTCTTGTAAATAATGCTGTAGTGAACACAGGGTGCACATATTGGTTTGAATTAGTGTCTTGGGTTTTTTTCAGATATACACCCAGAAGTGGTATTGCTGGGTCATTAGACAGTTCCATTTTTAACTTTTTGAGGATACTCCACACTGTTTCCCACAGTGGCTGCACCTGTCTGCATTCCCACCAACAGGGCATGAAGACTCCCTTTTCTCCACATTCTGGCCAAGTCTTGTTTGTTGATTGATCGATGATAGCCATTCCAACAGGTGTGAGGTGGTAGCTCCTTGTGGTTTTATAGTTCCCCAATATGTTCATTCTTGGGTACTCCATTAGTGACATCTAACTTTACCTCATAGAGTTATGTTATAGTTGGGTAGATACAGCTTTTTGCTTATCTCCAGAAATGCTTTAGTGTCATTTTTGCTTCTGTATGTCATGGTAAGGACAGTGAGCTAAATAACTAACTAATCATTTATTTATGGTAAGTTTTTTTAAAGTTCAAAAGTCTTGAGTGGAACCTAGAGCCAATTTGTTTATTGACAACTTACGGTGGAGATAGTTGGTCAGACATCCTGTCTCGTTTATACACCCAGCCTCTGTAGGGAATTCTGCCTGATCGCTCCTGAGGCCCAATTTCATCAAATAAATGTTAGAACAAATGTCAGCAATTTTATCCATAGAAAAATTACATCTTTGTGTGAATAAGAAGAACATTAGGAAGTTTGTTCCTGGGTGTTTCTTGGTCTGTTTGAGTTCTCTTTTCCTGCTGTATCAGACTGTTTGCTCTTATTAAAAGCATTATCTTCAAACTATACATTATTGGAAACTTCCCAATGTTCTTCTTATTTACACAAAGATGTATTTTTATCTGGCTAAAACTGTTTACATTTGTTCTAATATTTATTTGATGAAATTGGGCTTCAGGAGCGATCAGGCAGAATTTCCAGCAGAGGCTGGTCCTATAAAGGAGACAGGATGTCTGACCAATTTTCTCCGTGGTAAGTTGTGGGGAATATTATGCTAAGTGAAATGAGGCAGTTGGGGAAAGACAAACACCATGTGATCTCACTTATAAGAGGAATCTGATGAACAAAATTAACTAACAAGCAAAATAGAACCAGAGACATGGAAATATGGACTGACAGTGATCAGGGGGAGCGGGTGGGGGCAATGGTGGAAAAAAGGGGAAAGGGCTAGTCAAAGAACCTGTATGAATGACCCAAGGACATAGACAATTGTGTAGGGGTTGACTGTGGGAGCAGGGGTCCTGTGGAGCATGGGCTGGGTGGAGGAGAGCAAAGGGGGAAAAAGTGGGACAACTGTAAAACAGTAACAATACATGTTAGCAAAAACACAAAAAAGCATTATATGAGTATGCTCATTGAAGCCTTATATCTTTTTTAAACTAAATAAGCCTGGACATATTTGGAACATTTAACCCCTGTTTTACATTTTCATAATTTTAGAGCTTTTGAATATTTTCTCTTTACATCTAAGCACATGAGTTGCAAAGCATTTTATACAGAACTGGATAGTAAATGTTTTTAACTTTGTGAGTTAGTCTTTGTTAAAACTACTGAACTCTGCAAAAAAAGACATAGATGTTATGTAAGTGGATGGTTTAGCTATGCTACAAGGGAATTTCATTAGAAAAACAATGGTGGGACAAATTTGCTCCACAGGCCATAGTGTGTAAAATGAGATTCTGTAGACACCAACCCTGCTCTCTCTGTTGCCTTGTCCTTTTTTAGGTTACATAGCAACAGTTGTAAATGTACTTATAAATTTCACAATACTGAAAGAGACGTATCTTATATTATTAGTCTGTGTTTATTATAAAGTTCAAAGTCTGCAAAGTATGTGTTATAGACAAATGTCCTGACTTTCACATTCATGTACCTTTGTATAATTTCCTCCCACATTATCTCAGGGCTGATCTGTGTGACCAGTGAAACACAGTGGAAATGATAGTATGTCACTTCTGAGTCTAGTTCATAAAAGACAGCATGGCTTTCTCCTCCTTTTTCCTGTTTCAGATCACTTCATATGGGAAATGCAGCTATCATATCATGAGCAACCCTGTTGAAAGGACCATGTGACATGGGACCAAAGTCTCTTATGAAGAACTGGCAAGGGAATAAAGTCTATTTCTAGCAGTTATGCAATGAACTTCTTGCAAGTCGACTTTCCCACTCTAGTCAAGCCTTCAGATAACACAGCCCCAGCTGACATCCTGACGGCAACCTCATGAGAGAACTTGAGTCTCTTCCATCCTGCTAAATTGTTCAAGGATTCTTAACCCTCAGAAACTGTGTGATATAATGTGTTTATTCCTTTAAGCTGCTGTTTGTTGGATGTAGTGGTAGACTCACTCATAAGACCTATTTTAAGAAAAAAGGAAGCAAAACAAAAACAAAATTACTGAAAGGAGTCAACAGTTTTCCATAATTCTAGAAGTTCTGTGCCTCAAAATTTCCTTTATATGGTCATTACTATGCACTTTGTTTTCAATAAAGTTGACCCCACTCCAGTATGAAAATTGAGCTCCAACTGATTTAATTCCAGTTAAAGAGTAGAGATGAGTCTATTTTCTCAAGCCAAGTACCACACAGTTACCTTTGGGAATTATCTCCTCAGGCCATTTATCACACAGTTACCATTGGGGATTATTGAAATACTTCAAATTTAAGTTGAACACTTTTAATTTAACATCAAATTAAAGTCCATCAAAATGGACTTTTGAACAGGTTATCTGGTTACTAGTTTTATTCTAAAACACTTACTATAAAACTGACATAAGTGTCTTAAGAAATTATGTTAATAGCATAGAATTAAAGTTTGTGGAAAATTAATAATAAATAAAAATGTCATTATTAAACAATAAGCTATAGATATCTTCATTTCTGTGAAAATAAAATAGCCTAACTCACAAGTAAAATGTAAGTATTCAATATCCTTACCATTTGATGTCATTTAAGTAAACTTAATAGGTTCATGTTTTATACTTTAGGTAATTAGAAATAAAATAGGTAATCATAATTCTAGCAACTGGCTTCATTCAATAGCCAGTAAAATATCATTTTTCCATTGTTTTATTCAATAAACAAATTTCTTTGAATCATACTAATTTTAACTCATCTCTATCATTTGGTTTAAATTAATTAGCTTTTTCTATGTCTCTGAAATAATATGTGGGACCATATTAGAGGTATGCAAATAAAAAGTAGTCCATCCTTTTAAGAAGGAAAGTCTTGCTATGGCTGCATTCAAAACCTGTGCTGACCGACTACACAAACTATAGGACAGACATACCCACACAGCCTCGTTGAAATTCAGATAACTTGAGATGGAATCTCTAATTACTTAGGAAGGATGTGTGACTTAAAACATTTAAGTCCTGGCCTCTCGGAAGATAAGTGCAGGTTGGTGGTGATTTTTACTGCATAACAAAATGTGAAAAAATATAATAAAGAAAATGGAGAAATAAGTCACCCAGTTATTCCCTCAACTCTGCCTTTGCTGCATGTGGATAAATGGCTGAGTCTGACAGCATATATCCACTTTATTTAAAATGCAAGGTGCCCAGAGTCGCACAGGTAAAAGTAACTAAACAAGTCTTGTGTCGTAAGGTCTGCAAGGGTGGGTTTTATTTCCTGTGTTTGTTCCCAGCCAGGCTTTTAGGAACTCCCTCCCATCTTTGTACTGGGTCAGACACTCAGCACCTGATTCTGGGATAATGGTTCTCTTTTTCCCCCATAATTTAAGTTTCTCTAGTTTGACTGCTCTTCTGCTTTTTCTGCATTCAAGCTAAGGTCACATTTCACAGAATGGCACTACAAGAAAGGTGTCAGGGTGTGGAATTTGAGAAATCAATGGAAACAATACTTTATCTCTACCCAGGTTACCACAATAGGCTCAATGAATGAAAGGATGAATGTGTTCTTGTGTCATACAAATTTTAACTTCTGCTGATTTGTAAGCTGGTGGATGCACACACACAGACACACACACAATCTCTATTTCATTACTCTGTAGAGTGCAGAGGATGGAGAAAGTTATGAAATAAAAACCATTATATTTGTGAGAAACAACTTAACTGTTTTCTCATAAAATTCAACACTTGTACGACTAAAAACAAAAGTTCTTTCATTTTAACAAGTCATACTCATTACTCTACCACTAGGAGGCAGTGAAACACATCAGTGTATTTTATCTTATTTTAACAAACATTGTATAAATAAATTTTAAACCATTCACATTAGTAATGATTGAATTTCTCTTAATAAAAAGAAAAATTATTTAAAAAAATTTTGATTTTATTAAACTCACTATGAACCTCTTGTTTGAAACAATGCCTCACACATTTGATTGCTTCCAGATTTCCCCCCCAAAAACATAATCTATGCCCTGGATACTTTCATTCAGCATTTTTTAACTTTTTCTCTTGAGTGTTTTTTGCTTGTGCTTCTCAGTAATAGATTCACTCACTTGTCCTTTATTTCCTAATCATTCCAGAAAACATGTTCCTAAAGTATTGGGTTGTCCAAAATGTTCATTTGTTTTTTTTTCCATGGCACTTAGTTGTCTTTAAATTCATTCAAAACAATTTTCCTAGATTGCATTGAGACAGCTGTCATATCATAGTGCATTTTAAAAACCTTATCAAAATTGGTAAACTTTGTGTAGCTATTTTAATATTGAAGATGCAAGAAAATGCACAACATTTTCAGCATATTATACTTTATTATTCCAAGAAAGGCAAAATACAACTGAAGTGCAAAAAAAAAAAATTGTGCAGTGTGTGCAGAAGGTGCTGTGACTGATTTGAATATGTCAAAAGTAGTTTGTGAAGTTTCATGCCGGACAATGCTTCACAGTTGGGTAGACCAGTGGAAATTGACAGTGATCAAATCAAGACATTAATCGAGAACAATCAAAGCTATAACATACAGTAGATAGCCACCATACACAAAATATCCAAATAAATAAAGTTATTGGTGAAAATGAAAAATGTTTTTTATGTTATGGAAAAAATTAAGCAAACTTTTTGGCCAACCCAATATTATGTATCATATATTATAAAACTTGCTTTTATGATAGTGTTGCACATACATCTTAAGAAACTCAGATTAATATTCTTATTTTGTATTTAATGGCATATTTTAAACACTGAAAATACAATTGAGGTAAATACCACTTGATTTCACCATTTCATCTTGTGATGGGCCAGTGCAGAGTACCAAACTCCTTCACTTATATTTCAAGGTATAAGGACAATGTGACCATCCAATCAAAATCATTTTACTCTTGAGTGAAGTGAGATATAAGAGCAATGTAATCAAGTTATATGGTAATAGATGCAGAATATAAAAACAGTATATCATAACATTTGAAGTCTAAAATAAGTTATAAATCATGCTTCTTGAGCATTTAAGTTTTACTTTTGCATAATTGTCTATTTTTTGCCAAAGGAAAACATGCATATGCTTTAAAAAAACTATACCACAGAAACACTTATTCTGAAAATCAACAGTTCTTCCTTTTACTTGTTCTTACCCTGGTTGGTTCCAAAAGACAGCTGATTCTCATTCTGGGTTTTCTACTTTTATCAGCTTTCTTTGGAAAAAAATAGAGAGGTGTTTTATTATTTTTCAATTGAGGATAAATATTGGATTTCTTTTGTCTAACCAAACCAAGGTTCAGAAATAGTCTTTTCTACTAATCACAGGGTTGCAGCCTGTTTTTAATTTACTAATTATTATTATTACTATGTTTTCCTGAATGCTTACAAAGATTATTGGATATTGCAGGGAACAGTGTTGTCTGAGTGTGTTAAACACAATGGATAGTGTCTCTTCTTAAGGAAAATCATCTCCAGTTAATGGCAGGAACAGCTAGAATGTGCCTTGACAGCAGGAAGTATATACAGCACTCTCTTACTCAGAGGGTGAGTTTTTCCAGATGTTTCCTCACTTCTTCTTATGGTTCAAGATATTAATGAAGGGACACGTTGATTTGAGTGTTACCTGAGGGTCACCCAATGCATTCCCTTTTCTCACAGCATGTTTTTTTGTCAGTACCATCAGGCCTGCCACTCGGACCTCTCTATTTTACCTTTCACCATCCTCCAGAATTTCACCATTTCACCATTAGCATCCTCTCCTTTCTCCCATGCCAAAGAAGCTTTTTGAAGTCTTAGAAAAAAAAAGAAATGCTTTTATTTTACATATTTCCCTTTTCAAACATGCATCCCTAGAGAGTCTCTGAATATTAGAGAGGCAAAAGTAGCTGTGATGATTATATATCAGCTCTTGAGATTCACTGAAGTGAGAGCAGCTAAGCTTTTAGCAGATCTGGAGGGAGAAGATCTAGAAGGCTCCAGACATAAGGATGTAGAAATCTGCCTGGTACAATGGAAGTTCCCAGGGACATGGTAACTTTACTGCATGTGAAGATGTGTGCTAAGAGCATGCATGATGTTTCTCATGACCCATGTGAAGAGAAGTCATGATTTCATCAAGATGGTAACACAAAGGATTGAGTTGTTAAATAGGACTCACAAGCATTCTCAGAGACTTTAATCAGTATCCACCTGTACTGGTAATTTCAGTGGTACAGTACTTGTGAAGTACAGACAAAGCAGTGAGATATCCAGGCCTGCAGTGTAGATCCCCAGGTCCTTTCTTTCTACCTTAGGACACGCTCTGGTCCAGACCAACAGAATAACAAAGGAGCTCTCTAACAGGAGGTTGTGATTGCATCACACACATAAAAGGTGGTGCTTTGGTCATGGTACATCTCTGTTTTATACTCAGATGTGACATTTTCCAGGAAGTTGTACTCTATAAACCCACAGATTCTAGTCCTGTCTTTTGTTTTAGCCACAAATAGTTTTAGATATTCTAACACATCTAGCTGAAATATTCAGTAGATAAGGATTTTGACAAGCAGAACCTGCCAGTGTTTGCTAGCAGTTTTGCTATTAACATGTTTACAAAAGAATTTGTCAGCACAGAATCCTTATTGTTTTCTTTTTTCTTTCTCAGAGAGTCTTCCCTCTCCCTTATGAGGAAAATAAGTTGCACCCTGATGTTAACAATTTTCTTTTTACTTAGAGAATGCATGCATTATCAAAATCGTGAGATCAAAATAAATTTCTCCTTTGGGTATATTAGCATGTATACTATTACTATGTTGTATAATGTTTTAGTTAGAAATTTCTAGGCAGAGAAAAGACCTCACTGTTCATATTTTAAGGGGCCATTAGTTTATATTCTTTAGCTCCTTTTTTGTCTGGAATGATGTAGTTATTAGAATCATTACTTGCTTTGAACAAAGGGCAATGGTAAATTACTGTGGAGAAAAAGTGTGGTCGCCTCCAATGGCCACAGAGGCAGAGGATTTCCTGCAAACAGAGATGCATCTTCTGGAAGGATACCTAACTTCTGAAAAACAAACACATAACCGAAATCTGAACATTTCAGTGTCATTTCAGTCTGGGTTCTGCCTGCATCAGACCTTGAGTTTGGTTCTGAGTGCAAAGTTATTTTGGATGAGCATGGCATAAAGGTCAGAAAGGGTGTTAATACAGGAGAGGGCAGGCAGAGCACAATAAAGGTTGATCTGTTGAGTGTAGCTACCAGAAGAGAAGACTAGAAGTTAACACTGTTGAGTGATTTGGGGAAATGGGACAAACTTCAGTGTTCAGAATTGCCTTTTTAAGGGCTGACAGTGCTTGGCTACACCAAATCCGGAGACTTGTTGGTTAAAGCCCATCCAGGTGATAATTTCTCATTACTTCTGACAGCCACGTGTGAGATCAGGAGGGTTTTCAGCAGTTCTGGGAGAAAAAAGTTTGCAGATGCGGAGTTTCAACATCCCTCTGGTTGGCCAGAGTTCACAAAAAGCAGTGAGGGATGTGGGTGGGGCAATAATCTGCTCCATGTGCAGATAAGTGATAGGGGCCCTGGCGCAGAGCAATTCAACTGCTGCCCACGTACAAGAAGGAATCAAAGAATCAACTGGGGCTGGCAGTTCAGAAAGAATTGAAGGGAGCATTTTTATATACATTTTTTGTGTGAGTGTGTAGGTGTGTGTTCAGCTGTTTTTGTGAATCGAACCTAAGATTCTTGAATTGAACACAACTTTGATGAGTTTTTATCTCTAAGTAAGTGAACTAAGGTGAAAAAAGAAGACAATGTTTTAGGTAAATCTCACCAAACATGGTTCTGAAAACTTAGAACAGCTTCCCAACGAAGGTCATCCTGTGAATGTGGGAAGTGTAGGAATAATGCCTACTAGATATTCCATCACAAATTTGTGTGATCTCAAAACTAAATCTGAAAGCAAAATCTTAAACTTCTGTTTCCTTAAGGTGATTTTTCATGGGGCAAGAAAAGCAAAATTATGCAGTTTTTGCTAGCTCATCTTTGTCCAAAATTAGGGCTAAAAATGAATAAACTCCAAGTGGGCACAGGATCATTGATACTTCACCCTTTTCAGCATGGGTTTATCTGAAGTCTGGGTGAATTAATTTTTTTGTTTACATTATCTGGTTACAATTTAAATTTCATCAGCTTTGGTGGTTGAATGAAAGCATCTATGTACATTCTGCATAAAAAGATAGAAAATTTAACTTCATGGAAACTAAAAAATAAAATCACATTCCTTGTTTTCTGTTTTTGTTTTTCCTCTTTTTTTTGGTTGAAAAGACTGTCTTCAACAAAAAAGTTAATTGATGGTAATATTACAATGCTTAAACATAAATCACATAACGAGGAAAATCTTATTTGAGAGCCTGCTTTATATGTGGATGAGTGATAGATTATATTTCCAGATACTTAATTACTTAATCCACAGAGATCAAGGTCCCTGCTCTCAAGGATTTTATTCTGATTATCTGCTCCACATTTTAATTCCCACACTAGTAAAGTTATTTTTCTGAAAGCAAAAAAGTGTAAATTTAACTATCAGTATATTATGTAAATGAGATAGCACAGTAAAAATATAATGATTAATATACTAGTAAAAATGAAGGTAATATAGCAACTGACATCATGTTCAAAGGACTTGCAAGGAAAGGAACACTGGAGAACACAGTGTTGGAAGCTTTTAAGGCTCACGGGAATGAGGCACTCCAGTGTGGGCAGAGACCACCAGAAACAGTTTTAGAGCACAGGGGTGTGTGTGCGTGTCTCTCTGTGTGTATGGAACAGAATGGGAAGTTGCTGTGGTTCTACATTTTGTATATTCACCTTCCATAGCTGAGTTAATGTGGCAGGCATCAGAAGCATACAATAAGAGATGGAAATACCAACCACTCTGCTAGAGAAAAGAAATCAAAATTACAAGACATACACACAGAGGAACAAGCCTGATTTGGAATACATTGCATGTGTGCTTTGGAGAAAGACAGTCTTGGGCCTTACGCTTACTGACGTTGGTCAAGTATTTAGCTCTGCCTTAGTTTTTTCTTTGGAAAAATGCATATATTTATATATCTTCATTTTAAGCCATTTTTGAAATAAATAAGTTAATATATGCCAAGTGCTTTAATCTGTGAACAGCACAGGTCAGTTATAAATGTTTTTCATCATTAAAGAAGAAAAATTCTGTGAGGAATTTCATTATAGTAAGTAAATTTAAGTTTGAGTTGACCACCTTTTTTCCCGATGTTCCGATAATTTTTAAGATGATTTTGATTTTCAAACATTAAAAAAATTCTTCCTCTCAGCTCTTTTTATGATAGTCAAAGTGTTTGCATTACACAAGTACACTTACACACAAGTGACTATTTCCTGTATTGTGGTTCCAGGGACATTTTCAAAGCTAGTGACTTACTACCTCTTATTTGTACTACACATCTGTGTCTCACCAATAGATGATTCAAGAACATCACTTAAATACACACTCAACTCTCGGATTCCTAGCCTCCTGCTCAATCCTGTGATCTGACAACGTTCTTCTTGAACAAGCAAACATCCTGACATACCTGCATCGACACTGGAACAACATTTCTCATGGCAGGTATGTGAGATCCCATCATAAAATAAAAATAGAAATAACAAGGGAAAGCTCTAAATCCTTAGTGGGATCAGAATTTACCTGGTTAAATTATGAGCAACTTAATTCTAACATAGAGTAAATAGAGAATGGAAAATATTAATGACACAGTGCTTACAAGTGCTATTTAATAATTTAACATTTATGTTGTGACATCCCAAACCCACCCAGATTAACAGTTTGACACACTGGACTGTTGTTAATGTCAACACTCTTCAAGAGCGTGCTAAAGTTCATGCGGAATTTCCTGATATTAACTTATTTGGGGAAAATAGCTATAAGCAAGTAATCTTGGGTATAAGAAATGTAATGTGTTTGTACAAAACATGGTTGCTTATATGATGTATAATGTAATGGGAAGTGAATCTAAATCCAACAGTATTGCCCATGGAGTGGTTGGGGAACCTCTCCTCACACCAGGTTCAGATGCTTCCATGTCTTCTCATCCCTGGAAAACCTCTGCAAATCCACAAGATCCTGATCCTTCTCCAAAGAGCAAATGCATTGAGATTAGCAGGAGGGCACATCTCAAGGAGTATTATTGTGACAACCATAGAATGTGTTAAAGACTGTTCCAAGGCAAATTTTCATTTTCACACTTGAGAAAATAACATTATTAATGGCTTCTAAATTTTCTCAACTGTCTAATGAGATTTAGACGATCATCTTTGATTTTTGTTGAGAAAATAAAAGTAATGTCTGCTATGCAAATGCTAAAATAGAACTTGGTCCCTATTAATATCTTCTTCGTCCAGATCTCTGTGCTCATTTGCCAAATTTAACAAAAAATGTTAAATTCACCCTTCTGTGACAGAACTAGTAAAGAGCAAAAGTTACAGATATTCTCTTGGAAGAATAATATATCACCTAAAAATTTTAGTAGTGGATGGAGTTCTGAATGGCATGCCTTCATTTTCCAATGTTTCATTGGCAAGATGGTTGTGCTGTCAAGCCAAAGAAATTTTTTGGATTGCCCTCCCTGGTTTCTTCTTTTAACAAATTCAGCTCCTGTGATTGTTATTTAACTCACGTCTCTGCCTCTCTCTCTCTACAGCTTCTCAGACCACTCTGTGGAGGTGGATTTCTGGGATCTTAGGAGTAACAGCCCTTGTGTTGATGGCTACTTTGGGAATTTTGTTAAAAAACAGTAAGTTTTTCTGGGCAAGTTTATATAAAGACAAAAATTGTGATGAAGCCATTCAATATGAAAGGCTTCATTTTACTAGTGTGTAACATTGTGCTATTTTACAAACCTGTATCTGATTAAGTTAATTTCTAATTATTTCTCATAGCAGTTACTGAACCACATAACCAGTCAACAGCATCTCCAGGACCCACCACTGAACCCCAGAAAGGTGGGTTTCACACTTTGAAAAACCTTTGTGTTGGTAGAAGGTGAAAAAGTTTTCTTATTTTTCCCACACAGAAACATAATGGAACATTACATGTGATAATCCAAGTTTACCTACTAATTTTAGAATAGTCTCATGTCATTGTTCTCTAATACAAGAATTTTTAAATTACAATGAATGCATGTCATTTATATATTTAATTATAAGGAACATATTAACCTGAAATGACATGTTTTTCCTATACCAGTGCTCATGTTTAAGTAACAAATAAAAAAAATTATAATTCACACTATAGCCATCCTAATGATCTGCCTTTGTTTCCTTATAATATACTTTTATATCTCTTTACCTTTATTTCTATTTCTTTCATGACTAAGAATATAGTGCAGAAATTTATCAGGTAAGGCCAGTTCAAAGTCCAACTTTTTGAGTGTTTTTTTTTTCAAACACTCTCAAAGGTGTCTCACCATCTTCTGTGATTACATAGCAATTCATTTATATCTTGTTTGCATTTTCCCAGATATATTGAGATATAATTGGCAGATATATTGAGATATAATTGGCATAATTAAATTCATAATTTAAAGTGTATGGTGTGTTGAAATATTTTGCGGTATGATTATGACTGTAATATTAGCTATCTGTTCCATCATTTCACACAATTATTTTTTTTATTTTCTTTTATGGTGAAAACACTGAAATCTACTCTCTTAGCAACTTACAAGTATAGAGTAAATATTGTTAACTATCAACCCAGAACTATGCAGATTACCCAAATTTACTATCTTCTAACTGGAGGACTTTAACCTTTAGCCAACACCTCCACATTTGTCCTCACCTCCCAGGCCCTGTAAACACTGTTCTTTGCTACAACTTCAGCACCATTAGTTTGGCAAAGATTTGAATACCTACCATGCATTCTGACTTATCACTTAGGAAAATATACTCAAGACCCTATCACTCTTTAAACTAAATGATCTATTGTTTTATTGAACTTTACTTAGAAAATAAATAATCAAACATATATCAGAATTATCCCAATGTACCATATTCTTTCTGACTCAGGAAATATGCTAAAATATCTTTCTCCCCTAAATATCTCTTTCATTTAATCTACTCCTATTTACACAGCAAACCCAACTTTGGGTCACTTCCTCAAAAGAGGTCTTTCTAAATGCTCCCATCTTATACTCTGCTCACAATGTTTTAACATATTGAATTTCTGTGTGTATTTTCCCAAATTAGCGTTATGTATTACTAATACATGATTGGAAATTGTATAATTCCGACTCTATCTTCAGGATATCTAATTCCCATGAAGAAAAAGTTCAAGTCTGACCTGGTCACATTATTATCCCCGAGTTATAGTGTATTATTAGATTTTAAATAAATTTTGTTTAAAAAGAATCAATAGAAAATAATTTTTGAATGAGTAAATAACATTGACTGTATCAAATATACAATGCTATCAAACATACTTTATTTTTTCTCTTAGGCTCTGATTGCTGTTCTTGCCAAGAAAAGTGGATTGGATACCAATGCAACTGTTATTTCATTTCTCATGATTATAAAACTTGGATGGAGAGCAAGATATTCTGTGAATCTCAAAATTCTACTCTAGTTCAGTTGCACAATGGAAATGAATTGGCAAGTATTTAATTCTCGTTTTCTGCATTTTCTTTGATCCAAGAAAATATATCATTTAAGTGAACTGAATTCTTTGAATCAAGTCTTTAATCAGATAGTAAGTGGACTATTATATTTGAACTAATAGCTTACTAATTTCCTAAACCTTGAAACAACCAATTATAGAATCTACATAGAACTTCTCAAAGATTTATATTATGAGTAAAAATCCAGATAGGTGCCATATAAAATACAGGAGACTTTTTAGAGAGAAATCAAGGAAGGAATAATGAGTCATTTTCATTCAAAGATACAAGTAAACAACTTTATAATTTTTATTTCTATAACTGAGTTTATAATTTCTTTTGCAATTATATAGCTGTTGTCAACATACTAGGATATTTTGTGACCTAAATATGAATAATATGATCATAAAATTACCAACCTCTTAAGAAAAAGTGAAAAACTTCTCTAGCTACATGAAGAACCTGAGTATAGGATGAGTAGGTTAGATTCATGAAGTTTATTCCTCAAGATACTGCTGATTTGGGACCAGACTGGATCGTTGAGATCCTATGAAGAAAGCATTCCAGGAAAACCATAACTCCCTTTACATCACTCATCCCCATAAGAAGTAAGATCTTTGTCTCCACAAATGAATGGATCTGATAAGTGAAAAATTTGGAGCATGTGACTATACATCCTAACTAGAGCTTACAAATTATTTCAGTTTGAGTGATTTAAAGGTTGAATCTTATGCTGGACACTGACTTTCTTAAAATTGCATTATTCAAAGAATAGACTCAAATTAAGTAAATGTTTGTCTCTTTCTAAGCAGCACTTCATGAGATCCAGTGGACATTATTACTGGATTGGACTGTCTTACAGTAAAGAACATAATGCCTGGTTGTGGGAAAATGGCTCTGCTCTCAATCGAGATCAGTAAGTTTCTGGAAATCAAGGTCTTTTCATTTCCCGATGAGTTTGTTCTTAGATGTGACTAGAGAATGTAACTTACAGGAACACTCTAGCTATGATAACTTATCTAGATTAGAGCATTTGAATACAGAAAAAATAATACAAGTGAGTGACAATTTTAGCCCTATCTAGAACATCCATGTATATGCTCAAGTGATACAAAGTTAGTATACTTGTGACCATTGAAGAAGTTTTGACATATAGTGGGTTTGTGTGTGTGTGTGTGTGTGTGTTTTTAACCTTTGTCCAAACCCTTGGCTGTGTTGTACATGTAGAGAGATGCTCACACACCCAGATGGTGTCTAGAGAATACAGGATAGCCATCATTTTCTTTATTTTAGTGGAGCCCAATATTCTAAGCATCTCTTCATACTTTAAATATGCTGGGCTCATTTTTGTACCCTGGTAATCTTAAAATCTCATTTTTATTCATTAACATGGTATTTGCAGCATCATCCATGACAAATCTTATGCTCTGATTTGTTTTCCTAGGCTCAATTAATTAATACATCTTTAAACAAAATAGAAGCAAAGTTCATCATTTATAAAGCTCAGTAATAACAATGCAAAATTTAAAGATTTATGGCCTCAATGCTATTCATTATTGAGGCAATAAATAAGTTTTTGCACTGCTGTATTTGAAATCATGAAAACTGGCTATTGAAAGAAAAAACTACCATGACTCAGTATGTGAATTCATCATTCAAATGCTTTAAAAAATTGTGTCATATAATAAAAAACACTATCACTCAACATTCTCATTCCCTTTTCTGATATGATAACATGTTATTTTTCATTACAGACTTTCACTTATTATATTTCCAAGTACAAAGGGCTGCATACTTTACAGCCCATCCGGAAGTGTTTTGGATGAATCCTGCACAAAACAAAACTCATATATCTGTAAACAACAGCTTATGTAGGTGTTATTTAGGCCAGAAGGGGTGGGCAATGAAGGTTCAGTATTACTAAAAAGGGTAAGCTTACCTCTTATATTACTACTACTTATATACTTCTTGGATCTGTAAAATGTTTCACATTATCTTGTCAAAAAATATTGATATATTTGAAACCATGTATTTTACAACTGATAAAATTTGTGCACTTACATCTGAAGTTATAAAACATCAAGATGAAGAATTTCATGAATCTTTTGATTTAATGTACATGTTCAGTATTAAATGTAATATATTTTCATGCATATTTTAAATTTTTTTGCAGTACTTTAAATAAAACAATTCACATCAAACAATATTAAGATCATTTCAGATATTTGTGTGGCATACTAAATTGGGAATTCCCATCTTGTTTTTATTTGTCTAGAGGTTAGTTCTTATTGGCTGTCTATACATCTATATGTGTCAATTTAGAGCTGAAAATGCTATATGACAATTTCCTTATATTTATCATCTGACTTCACAGGAGAACAGATTTGTGTCTTGCTGCTCCTGAGTTCTGTAGGACAATCAAAAGTCTTTTGCCAAATATGTTTTTCTATGTGATTGCACTTGTATTTTGTGAAGGATCTGAGCCTTAACCACATACATTTACAATATCTATTTCTTTACTCCACAGGCCTGTCTTGCCTTATGCTTATTGGTCAGTAAAAATGTCACATATGCATTAAAAATCGTAATCACTAATCAATCCTAAAACCCTTTTCTAAAAGTTTGTCAAAACTGAACAATTCCATTTAAGGGGGTCATGGGAGAGAAGGAGAAGGAGCAGTCCATTTTACTGAGGGGTTTCTGAGTATGTCAAAGAAGGGTGGGGCCACAGTAAGATCCACTGTCCTGACAAGAATGGGATTTTCCCCAGCCTCAAAGATTTCAAAAGCCAATTTCTTTTAAAAAAACTTGTTGGATGTACATCTTAAGATATTTATATTGACATCTCTATTTGCTTACTAAAAATCATATTTTAATTAAATCATAATAATTGTAAACCCAAAGTTAATTTAAAAATTTTAAATATTTTATTTATAGATGAGAGAGAGATCAATCTGTTGTTCCATCTACTTATGCATTCATTTGTTCATTCTTGTATGTGCCCTGATTGGGGATCAAACCCACAACTTTGGCATATTGGGCTGACACTCTAATCATCTGAACTACCAGGCCAGAGCTATTTAAAATTTTTTGAATTAAATTTATCCAGGTGACATTGGTTAATAGGATTACATAGATTTCAAGGGTACACTTCTATGATACATGATCTATATATTACATTGTGTATACACTACCCAAAGTCAAATTACCTTTTGCCACCATGTACTTGACCTCCTTTATCCTTTACTACTTATTCTCCTGCCCCCTGCCCTCTGGTAATTGCCATACTGTTTGTGTCTATGAATTTTTGTTTGTTTTTCTTGTTTGTGAATTTGTTACTTTCAGTTTTATACCCCACATATGAGAAAAATCATATGATTGTTAACTTTTTCTGACTGATAAAGTCAGAAAAGTCTTATATTTCACTTAGCATGATATTCTCAAGGTCCATCCATGTTACTGCTCTACAGTTAATTTTTAATACATGAGAAGTCAGGAAGAGGAAAGAACCTCTCAAGTTTTAGTTCTCAAAATATGAATATAATCAGAGTACAAACTGAACTCTTACATTCTTGTGTGAAGATTGATTTAGAAAAAAATGCACTTAAGTTATAGTATGGAAGAAACAGGACAGAATATAACATCTTTCAAAAGTTGCACTAAGCATACATGCATTATACTTTCTGATACTTGAAATGTTTGGGGTTTTTGTTTATGTGATTTCAAAATAATGCATTTAAAATTCAATTTAAAAAACAACATAGATAAACTTATAATGAAAAGCAGTAGTTTGCTGTCCCAACCCTTCCTCTTCCCATCCCCCTCCAATAAGGCAACTTCCTCTGGGTTTCTTGTTTGTTTAGTTTTATTTGTTTGTTTGTTTCTTGCTTAGAGTGTTTTTTTTTCCCTGTAGTGAACCAAGGATGGTCACAAATTTTGTTCAGAATGAATGTAAACTGTGTTTCTTTAGCTACACCCAAATATAGGTTCAAATTATGACTTTTTACATCATCATCCTATGAAGTGTCTGGGCCCTAGCTGCCTTTCTCTGAGAACTCTTGAACTTTTACTATAGTTGCAGGAGCAATGAAGAAACAGAAGGTGCTAAATATGGTGAATGATGTCTAATTTCAGAGAGTAATCTATGTTAAAAATCGTCTTCACTGAGAGAAGAAAATTCCTGTTGCCTCCTAAATACAGCTCTGAGGTGTTTCAGCTCCCATGATATTTCAGAGTATTACGATTGAAAGTTCTGGCTTCAACAGAGGATACTAGCCACCCTTTCAGTGTCTCTCTCCCACAGCATGGTCTTGTCATATTAGTCATAGTCAAGCCATGATCATCTGACCCATTTCATAGGTAATATTCTCTCTCCCACGCTTACCTGCATTCTGCTTTTGCTCATCCTGAAAATATCTCTGTCATCTTAGGGTATGAAAAACTTCTAGTATATAAAGTTCTTTTTACCAAGTATTTTTTCTTCTGACATGGAATTTCTGATATATTTTCTGGGTAAAGATATGTTATTTTCCTTGTCTTGCTGTGTGTTGTTTTGCTATGAAATGCACTAATGCATATTGAAGGATCTAATTGAGTGGATATCTTGTTAAATAGAGAATTAAAGGGAGAAAGTAAGGAAATGTCAAAAAACCCTCACACAAAATGATAAAATAATATTGCCAACAGTCAGTATATACTTCCTTAATTTTCTGTTTTTCTGAATGCATGTAATATGTATTATGTATTGATGCATATACATTAAATTAATTTAGAAACTTGGAACACATTTATTAAATAAATTTAGAAACTTAAAACATATATTTATTGCCTCATAGTATCTCTAGATCAGGAACCCTGCATGGCTCAGTTGTGTCCTTTACTCAGGCTCTCGGAAGGGTGGAACCAGGATCTCATTCAATCTGTTTGCAGAATTTAGGTCCTTGTGGTTGTAGGACTGAGACCTTCAGCTCTTAGACACTGTCCCTCCCCACAGGCAGTCACACTATAGCATCTTGTTTTTTCAGGAACAAAAGGAGAGCGTCTTTGACTTCAACTTTCTCTGTTCTCTAGAATCTAAATGGTCATCTGATTTGGTATCTTAATTACCTCTGAATCATATCTTAATTACTATCCATAATAATATTTTTTGAATAGCTGACAATGGAATGATTTGGAATCTTATTGTAGTTTTTTCCATTGCCATTTAGCTCATTTGCACCCTCCTACCTTCCCACAATCACCACACTGTTGTCCTGTCCATGAGTCCATTTAGCTTTTTGCTTGGAATCTTTTTTTAATTATAATTTATTGATTATGCTATTACAGTTGTCCCAATTTTTCCCCTTTTGCCTCCCTTCACCCAGGGCCCTCCACTCCCTCAGGCAATCCTTCCACCATTGTTCATGTATGGGTCATATATATAAGTTCTTTGGCTACTCCATTTCCCATACTGTACTTTATATCCCCATGGCTATTCTGTAACTGACTATTTATACTTCTTAATCCCCTCACCTATTCACCCATTCTCCGACACCCACCTCCCATCTGGCAACCATCAAAATGCTCTCTGTACCCATGAATCTGTCTCTGTTTTTCTTGTTCTTAGTTTGTTCTTTAGATTTGATTATTTATATATATATATATTCTTATATTATATATTATGTATATTTAATGCCATCTTGTTATCCATAGTTTTAATCTTCTTCATTTTCTTGAATAAGTCTCTTTAACATTTCATATAATAATGGTTTGGTGGTGATGAATTCCTTTAGTTTTTTCTTGTCTGGGAAGCTCTTTATCTGCCCTTCAATTCTAAGTGATAGCTTTGCTTGGTAGAGCAATGTTGGCTGTAGGTCCCAACTTTTCATGACTTTGAATATTTCTTGCCAATTTCTTCTAGCCTGTAAAGTTTATTTTGAGAAATCAGCTGACAGTCTTATGGGAATTCCCCTGCAGGTAACTAACTGCTTTTTTCTTGCTGCTTTTAAAATTCTTTTTTTTAACCTTTGGCATTTTAATTATGATGTATCTTAATGTGGGCCTATGAATCCATCTTGTCTGGGATCCTCTGTGCTTCCTAGAGTTGCATGTCTATTTCCCTCACCAAGTTAGGAGAATTTTTTTCATTATTTTTCAAATAGATTTCCAATTTCTTGCTCTTTCTCTTCTCCTTCTGGCACTCCTATGATGCTAATGTTGGAATGCTTGAAGTTGTCCCAGAGGCGGCTTACACAATCCTCATTTTTTTATTCTTTTTTAAATCTTGTTATGCAAACTGGTTATTTTCTTCATTATGGTTCAAATCATTAATTTGATTCTCATCTTCATCCACTCTGCTGTTGTTTCTCTGTAAATTGTCCTTATTTCAATTAGTGTATCCATAGTTTCTCACTAGACACTTTTTATCCTGTTGAGGTCTTCACTAAGCTTTGTGAGCATCTTTATAACCAGTGTTTTGAAGTCTACATCTGACAGATTGCTTATCTCCATTTTATTTAGTTCCTTTTCTGGAATTTTGATCTCTTCTTTCATTTGAGCCATATTTCTCTGTATACTCATTTTGACAGTCTCCTTGTGTTTGTTTCTATGCATTTGGTAGAGCTGCTATGACTCCCTGTCTTGGTAGGTTGGCCTAATGTAGTAGGTGTCCTGTAGGGCTCAGTGGCAGAGCATCCTCTATCATCCAAGCTGAGTAGTTGAGGAGCCTCTTTTGTATGGGCTAAGGACACCTTCCTCTTATAGTTGAGCCTTGGTTGCTGTTAGCAGGTCAATGGGAGGGATTTACCCAGGCCAGTCAGCTGCAACGATTGGCTGTGACAAATGACCACCAACCTCTGCCTTCTGTGGAGGATTAGCTGTGCAGAGGCAGGGTGATGGTGTTTCAAAACAGTCTATGGCTGTCCACTGGATAGCAGGCTCTGGGGTTTCCCAGATGGTGCAGAGTAAGGTCAGCCCCCACCTGTGTTCTGCCCAGGACCACCCTGCCTTAGCTATAAAGCAATCTGAGAAGCCTGCTACTTGTGCTTGGCTTGGAGATTCCCAGATAATACCAAAAGTGAATATAGGCTGGCTGCTGCTAGTGCCAGGTCTGAGGGCTCACAGGCTGGCTGTTGTTTTTTTGATAGGATTTATGAAGTTCTGAAGCATGAGCTAAGATCAGCTATTCATATGAAAAAGTCCCAGTTAACAATTTGGGTGGGCCCATAAGTTGGGTGGGAGGGAGTCTCAGGGGATCTTCAGGGCTGGCAAACAGTATTAGCCAGTTTGATGGAGTCTCAGATAAGGCACCTACCAGTTGGCTTTGTGGCTGTGGAGGAAGGGCTCAGCAAAGGGACTATGGCCTCTGCCTGCCTTTGTGTCTGAGAGAAAGCTCTTCTCCAGTTCCCACCTTGATGCCAGATACTTCAGCTCCTCCCTATATGCCACTGGT